AAGCAGTGGTATCAACGCAGAGTACTAGAAACTATTGATATGCTTCTCAAGATTTTCGCGGACCCAAAACCCCAAAATTTTAGAAAAAGATCCCCCTCCCCTGCCCCCTCCGCCCCCCCCCCCCCCCCACCCCCCACTCCCTCGGTACGCCACGAATATACATATATATATTGTAACTTTGCAAAAGATTTCGACTCAGATTGCGGTTCTGAGTGAAAAGGAAGCTTCGTTTAGGCTTTCGTATGATTATGAACTGCAACAAAAAATTCGCATTCGAAGCAAAAACATTCCCAAGATTGACAGCGATCATTCTTGGGCCGCATTCACCGTTTTCGACTGTAACCTTATGGAGGCCTTTCAAAATCCAATTGCCCACGCGTTGCTTTGGACATCAAAGCGCGGGGCGACTGGAAACGTTGGGTCTCGTAGCGCTACAGGCTTCTTATGAACGACAATGAGCGAGCGCTGTCACGCATATTTTTATAAGCTTCTGAAGGAAGTCTTTGTCATACTCTACATTGTTAAAGGCAGCATCCAGGCAAATCTGGACTTATGGGGATTTTACGTGTGAAGTAATTTTGGGTCCCTAACTAAACTACTCCCCAACGGCAGCTCAGGTAGTGCTCTAATGGCTGAGATATTCCCTCGAAACTGGCCCCCGTGATCGTATTCGCATGGGTTCATGGCGCAACTTCGTGGGTCGAAATTGATGGATTGCGCCTTGAATCGATACGAGTACGATCCCTGGGTCCAGTTTCGAGGAGACTATCTTTGCCGTTAAAGCACTACCTGAGCTGCCGGTTGGGCAGTAGCTTAGCTAGGGCCCCAAAATTGCTTTCCACGTAAAGTCCCCATAGGTCCAGATTTGCCTGGACGCTGCTTTAAAAAACCACATCGAAGTTGGCGAGAAATTTTTTGATAAACGCGAACGCCTACAGTCGTTCGCGGCGACCGCTCGCAAAGCACGGCGAGGGCATTTAAGTTTTTTAAGGCCTAAACGTAGTATAGGAAGTGTCAACTCAGTTTAGGCGGCAATTGGACTGGCGGGAGTCCGCTTCGCAACAAATCGCGCCGCTTTGCCTGCGTGTCTTCATTTTAATCTATTTCGCTGAGCCAGCGGCGATGCGCACGCGCTATTCCAAATGTTTCGCCTACTCCGGGTTGAGAAAGACTGTACTAAAGCTTTTATTAGTTTCTTCCAAAAAGTTCCAAAACTCCCAAAATATGAAGTGTTAGCACAGTTTCAGGCAGATTTTGGATGCTTTGACGAAGTTTTCACGGAATTCTAAGAACATGCACATGCATGCGAGGGGGATAAGGCTATCCGAAGGTATCCACTTCGCGACATCGACTAACCCTAAATGTTCTTCCTCTTGCTTCCTTTGTGACAAGGAAAGTAGAATCGGCCTCCGGCTGAATAACGATGATAATAACACATCAGCAGAAGCTGTCACTGGCACTAACCTCCTTTCTCACACGTCCTCCCATGTAACGGACCAGTTTGCTCCATGAGCTTCTTTCAGCTTCCTCTCCAAAACCAATTATCACATTGATGTTCCGGAACATATCACAATAAACAGCACGTTTAGGCTTCGCACGCGGTAAGCACTCAAACAAACACATTCACTAAACGTAAAACAGCAAAATGCTTACCAAATTATGCTGAATTCTGCTTTTTATCAAGGCTATCCCAAAGACTGATGCCTCGGAGTGAACGCGTTTGAAGTTGTGAAAAATTTCATTTTCGAAGTCGTCAAAAACAAACACAATGCCACGAACGTCTTTGCAATCAAGACCCGTCTTACTGTGGAAAACGGCGCAAGTATATTTTTCCTGAATATGTTGGCTAAGAAGTTAACACAGTAGGCAAAGTAGTAGAGACATGAAAAAGGGACAATTTTTACAGTTAGCTGTTTTTGCCTGAACTTTGACTTTTCTTAGTATGCATTTCTTTTCCTCTTAAACTATTGATGACGGCGTGCCCATGGCGCTTTCTCAGAAGTTATTCTAATATTTATGTCATTCCCAGACTCTAACACGTTTTGGACCGGTGCTGCACATGGTGCAGCACGCGCCTTTGATAGATCTTTCTAACGTTCACAGAAGGTTTTCATTTTGTCCAAGGTTGTCAAATCAAAAGCCTAAGCTCCTTCTTCTCATGCCGTCGATATTTGTTTAGAAGATATGAGCACAAATCGAACAACAGTTGCAATGAAGTGCGGCGACGCGAACGACGCGTGCAACGTCGCAACTTTCCTTTGCTTCGAATTCAAGGAGAAAAAGCGTAGTTTCGATAATGATGTGTATGGCGTACAACATAGATACTTTTGGGTATAATTAGAAACTGAGTTCTTGTTCCTATCTTTCAAAAAGGCACAGAAGTCCTTCTCAGGCGACAAAATTCAAACACTTCGAATTCGCTCACAACTTTGGGTATGGATCTTATCTGACATGCTGATTATAGATGTGGCACACAGTCTACGAGTTGAGGCTCCTTTGTTGGCTAAAGGCTGAAAGTACCGTCTTTTTCGCCGCGCGCGACTTCGCGGTCCGAAACGTGTTAAACAAAGAACTCTACAAGCTTTGACATCCGCAACTAGCATGATACATCATCATCAAACAAAGAACTCTACAATCTTTCTCATCCCCGACTAACATGATTGGACATCATTATCAAACTAAAAGTGCCGCTTGTGATGAAAAGAGGCGCCAAGCCATGTTTTGATTTGTGAAATTCACGCGTTCGCCAGTGGGTGAGATACTGGTGCTGTTTCACAATATATAACCGAAAATCTTCAGGTATACTGAAGCTTTGCACACTGGTGCGAGGGTGGCAAATGTCAAGAAAATGCATAGGAATTGTAAATACATGTCCATACTCGCCAGTATCCCTTTGACAAGTTGATACACAGGATTGCCGTGCAAAAACACGATCCTACTCGGCGTCTTCTTCTAAACCCAAATTCTCCCCATCGGATAGTGATTAAGCGCCTGGTTTACAGCGCGCGCATAACGGTATGACCCCGAATTTTGTGTATAACCAGTGGTCGTATTCATCAACCCCTGAGAGTAAACCTTACACTCAAGGATAGATCTTATTCTCAGGGTTTATTGGCCGTATTTATCAACGAACCCTCAAGGGTAGTGCGGAGTTTACCCCGGAGAGCGATTAACTCGTATCGATTAACGAACCCTGAGGGTAAATTCTAGCCCTAAAGGCAGTGGATCGGCAGAATCAATGTGAACGTGGCAAAACACGGTCACAGGGTAGGAGCCCCCATAGTGGAACCTACCGGCCAAAGTCCGATCTTTCTCTGCCACTTCCATGCCTTCGATAGTCTAGAGACAGGGCGTCAAAAATGAAGGTTGTTTGTATGTCGTCATAAATAGTGAAGGTTGTTCAAAGAAGATTAGTGAAGAGAAAATGACGTAAAACAGGTATAAAAGCAAAAGAAACTGCTGAAAACCGAATAAAAGCGCTGCAATGAGGTTTGGAATCTTTCATTTGGCGGCTTTTCAAAGTGCAAGTTTTCGCTCCAGGACCAGCAATTCGCAACGGGGTTTTGATTTTTGATGCGTCCTTTGAATTTTTACCCCCGCATTGACGTTTCTGTTTCCTGGGACGTTGTCTGGATTGTTGCGCTTATTGTTCTGAGCAACAGTCGCCCAAGCTGGAAAAAAATCGATGCGAAAGCACTGAAATAGAACAAGGTAAAGAAAAACGCACTATAACTTTTTTTGCAAAAAATTCCACCATAATCGAGGAGGTAAGGGCTGGGTGGTTGTCTGCGTTATGAATAGAAGCAACCGCGTGAACTCAAACTAGGAGAAAAACAAAAGATTTTCGAAAACATGGTTTTTGCCGGATTTCTCGATCATATCATAAAATATGGTTCTGGGACGTAGTCAGCGTAAAAATAGAGATCAAGAGCTTCAAAATGATATATAGCTTGCTTAAATTGGGTTCGAAACAGCGAGGAAAAGGGTACCAGAGCCAAATGCCTCGCGCCCAGGGCCCGGCACGCGTTGGTTTGGAGGTTTTTAGGAAACGAAGTCCCCCATGACTTCGCGAAAATTTACGAAGTCCCTCTCGACGTGAAAATCAGTAGAAAAACAATTAGTCAACCAAAATAGCAACGAAAAAGCGAAAAAAGCGCATTTTGAGGTATGTATTAGGTTGTCAAGAAAATAATGTCGTTTTTATTTGCTTGCTTTAACAAAGCAACCAGACTCAACCCAACAAAGGGTAATGGGTATTGTTCGATAGAGCAAAGCAAGCTCTACAAGATGGCTTTCATGATCTTGCGCCAAGCTCGATCCACGGAATGTTCGAACTCAAAATCTGAAGGTATTTAAATGCCCAAAAAATCGAAAAGAATCAGATCTTCGTCCAAATAATTTCTACGGACCTCCCACTCGCACACGTCAATACTTTCGGTATATAATATCCATATGTGCAGTTGCTGTATTTTTTCCTTGACTACAAACTGAGAAAACAAAAATTTTCGTGTTTTTCTAAGAGCAATGCTGAGCCGTTCTTGCATATGTGATTCTATACTACAAGTTTAGGTAAGTATAACTATAGATTTTCAGCCTATTTCGAGCGGTAGTTTTCGAGAAATGTTGCTTTTAGCACTGAAACTGAAAAGATGAAAGCTGAATTCGATATTTCTCGAAAACTACTGCTCGGAATGGGCTGAAAATCTACAGTTATACTTACCTAAGCTTGTAGTATAGAATCACATATGCAAGAACGGCTCAGCATTGCTTTTAGAAAAACGAGAAAATTTTTGTTTTCTCACTTTGTAGTCAAGGAAAAAATACAGCAACTGCACATATGGATATTATATACCGAAAGTATTGACGTGTGCTTGTGGGAGGTCCGTAGAAATTATTTGGACGAAGATCTGATTTTTTTCGATTTTTTGGGCATTTAAATACCTTCAGATTTTGAGTTCGGACATTCCGTGGATCGAGCTTGGCGCAAGATCATGAACGCCATCTTGTAGAGCTTGCTTTGCTCTATCGAACAATACCCATTACCCTTTGTTGGGTTGAGTCTGGTTGCTTTGTTAAAGCAAGCAAATAGAAAACGACATTATTTTCTTGACAACGTAATAATATAACAAAAAAGCAAAAAGAAAACATTTCGAGTCGATTAAAGGCTCTGCCATTAGGTATAGTACCATTTTGATGCTGGAAATATCGAGAATCTCCTAGACCAACCAAATCTGTAGCCTCAACAATCCTGCGATGCATTTTTCGCCACATATTTCAAAGGACACCGCAAGTGATTGGAGCGCGATATATATCAACGCGTAGAATTATACTACTTCTGACTCAAAAAAAGGAGAGGCAACGGTTTGATCCGCTCTATTCACTATATGATAGATTTTTGACCGTTCTAATCGTCCAAATCAAAAAGGTCCAAAACTTATGTGAACTCTCCGATATTTATGCTCCGAACCAACCCAGTTGGTTTAGTAGTTGGCCTAGAAACCAACAAATTCGAGAACGGATATTAGGACACATAAGTTTTGAGAACTTTTTACATAACATAGTTTCGAGTAATATTTTATACTCATACCCACATTCGGAGCCATGTGATTGTTTGTGCGCTGTAAACAAGCCATTTGTTTGTTTGAGTCTTTTATTTGAAATTCGCGCGCTTGCGAAAGAACACGTTCAACTCGTGGAACCTGACATGTTCGTCGTGTTTTTTTTTTGGCGCTTCCTCCAGGACCTCATAAAAATGATGTCCCCGTTGCTTCTAACGCCAAAAACGAAGTTCAGTTTGACCCCAAACCATCGGTGCCGGGCCTTGCCCGCGCCCCGCGTTTGGGGCAGCGAGGTAGCGCGCAGCGTGCGGAGACGCAGACGAACAGCGGAGACAGACCAGAGCCGACGGGGCATTTGGCTCTCGTCATAGATCTCCGCGGAGTCTCTATGAAACCCTGCAACATTATATGTTATTCTGATCGTCATAACACGACGAGGAGAATTGACAACGTCCCAAACTTTGAAAATCACTCATTAACGAGATAGACCAGTGTTTTCGTGCGCAACTCTCTGTGTAAGATTTAAGCGCAATTTTTCGTCTTTATTTAACTCGAATAGCAATCGTAAATTCTGAAACTCGATTTTGGTTAAATGAGAGGTTAACTGAGAAATTTTGTACTGAATTCTGGCAAAAATTCCACAGAAACCTTCCTTTTAACGTAAAAAAGGCTATGAAGACGCAAATTCGCGATTTCGCTGAGATAAGCATTTGCATCTGGTCGCAGATCTCCGTAGGGTCTAAGCAAAACCTTGCAAATTTCATGTTACTATCTACTGACCCGGTCCTGACTAGGTGACCTAGTGACCTAGTATCTAGTGACCCGGTCCCGACTCAGGTCAGGAGTGGGTCACTAGATACATATAAAAATAATCTAGTACAGTTTTTGACAAAAGTGGTCTGCTTCCAGCAAAATCTATTATCTGTTAACGTGAGCACTGCTTGATCTTGCGTTCTGGTTGATACTGCTACTTTTCTAAAGGGCTGGGCTCTTTCCTGTAGTCGACAAGGTGTTTGATTGGATAGTTCACTTAAGTGTTTTCGACTTTTCAGACTCTGAAGAATGAGAGTTTGCCGAAACGTCAGTCTGTATATTGTGAAGTAAATATCTGTACCAATCTTGGACTGGCTGCTAAGAAATCAACCAAAAGAAACCTCGCAACATTATAAATCATTCTTGTTCGTCACAACACGACTAGGATGACGACGACGCAACTTGAAAATCACTTCTCAACAAGATTAACAAGCATTTCCGCGCGCGATTCTCTGCGCAAGA